AAAAAAAAATTACATAAATCACGGAAATGCAGTGCTTAGATAATTCAGTTCACCTCGCGATTTATTCAGTGTTTGATGGATCCCACCACAGTACCTGATACCCCTACATTAGAAACGGGTATGTCGCAAACGTGGTCGGCAAGGACGAGCAATGTGCCTCGCACTAAACTAAACCCACATGTTTAAGCGGCCAGGGTATGGTTTAACGACAACTCCTACGACGAAAAAACAAAGCATGATTTCGGCTGCTGGGCGCGTGCGTTTTGTAAAAAAGAGCCGTCACAAAACAAAGCAACCGAGGCAACTACATATTTGATCAAATTGGTGGTAGCGAACACTGAGAAAACAACGTTGAAACGGTGACGCAGAGTGATCAGACCTTATTTGACTATCTTATGCATTCCGGGTACGTGGCCACTTCATGAGGCGATTTCAAACGACATACCGGTTCGTGTGAGCTTGTTCGATTTTGCGCTGCGAGACGATTTCATTGATTGTAATTTATAAATAATCATTCTAAGCCAAACATGCACCCATTTTTTCGAACAATGACAACTTAAACATAAAGGCGCAAATTGCTTCCGCAGAACCCACCGATCTGCAAGGTTTGGCTCAACTGGGATCCTCACACCTAGCTTCAAGACTTCATTAACAACTCCAATAATCATAGGAAGCCAGATAAGATAGGTTGTGTGTAGATTAGAGCCTTATTAGCGTAACTAACGCGAATGCAACGCCTCAGGTACATACCTAAAACGCACTGCAGCTCGAGTTTCCCCGCAGCGGAAACCGACACGCCTAGCATGCTACCTCATCGTAAGAACAAGAGTTTTCAACATCATTTCCTACAACTACCGTTTTGCATAATAACACAAACACAGGGTTATTAGTAGGATCAAATTATTATTTTTTAGAGGTTTGCCTGTATTTCAAAGTGGCATGTCCCGTCATAAAAATTAATTGGAAGGCGTGCTGGGCACCGTCGTAGGATATCATTTCAGTTGGTTGCTGACGGACGTGGGGCTGCAGGTAAACCACATAATTGTGTGTTTAATTCCATGTATTTATTCATGACATAGCACAACTGCAATGGGTTTGCAAATAACGTCTAGGGGATACAGTGTAAGGCCTGCTGAACTACAAGCTCATCGCCATGCAGTCTTATCTGCATTCTAGGGACTTGCCCACTGAATGTTGGATTGCGCGTTACTTGCCCAGTTCACATAAGTTGTCCAATTTGCCTGCGAGTCTGCATTATGTTACAGCTGATGCTCCTCTTTTGATTCCACACGTCTGCTGGTAATTGAAGATGGGTGTTGCCGATATGGATGTGTATGGACTCAGCGACCCTGGCTGGTCATCCGATAAATGATTGTGACCCGAAATACCGTGGCAATAGCTTCGCACATTCAAAACTTTTACATTTGAATGACTAAAATCAAGGCGTCTTGTGTATTTTCTAATAACCCAGTCATCCGAGATCAATCCAGGTCAAAGTTGCATTTTTCTACAATTTTTAGCCTGAGCGTCATAAGACTTAAACGACAAAGGGACCTATCATACAGCTTGAAAATACATTTCAGACACGTTCTTCCCATTGATGGGGTTTTTCTTGTTTATTTGCTATAGTCCACACCATCCCAGAAGGACATATTGACATGTTATGATTCAGTCAAGGGCTTGAGCGGATCTCAACCAAAACACCCAATCAAATTCGGACGCAACATTTTCAAAGGGACCAAAACCACTTTGACCAACAAACTGCATTCTGACATGTCTGTCAATGTTGCATGACCTGGTTGCTCAAAATGCCTGTTATCGCTGCATGAAAAACTGTTTTGTTCTCACAACTTTTTGTTGTTTTCGTCGTAGTTTTGAATACATTCAGGACGTCGTTTCCAGATGGCCTAGTATATTTACATTTATTATCACTTAAGCTGGATTACATCAAACTGTCAGGAGTGTCTGAAGGAGTGTGGCTGAACGTCACAGCGAGAGCTCATCATTGAAATAATCTGAAGAAGATCACGCATTGCCATTGCAGCCCATACCATCAAAAATGGTTTGATCATGAACTTACATAACATGGTGAAAAGATGTGGAGGCTTTCCAAACCATAAAGCACGCGAAATGGCAGAGGAGCTATCCCCACACTGCCCAACTTGCTCTGTTGGATCACTTGCCACAGGGAAGCCATTAGCAGGTCCAGCGAACCCCTGGTCGGATCTCATGCAGCATTTGAGAGAGAATACATTTATAGCATGTAAAACGAGCGTCGCGATAACATAATTTGATATGCAGCTCAAGACTAAAATACCACGGCTTACTGGGATTGATGCGTAAATCGCCCCCGGACGTAGTACCAATATATCTTTCATGACAACCTCGGCTCCTAACGCGTCGTTTAATGCAACAGTGCAGTGTCCATTGGGCTATCGCCCCGCAGTGCTTGTGTAAACGTATGTGATATGAAACTGCAACATCCGTAACTATGGGACACGAGGATAAAGTCATATTCACTGGCTGTGTAATATTTTGTTTATTGCATTGGCACGTGTTATGTAGCTTATTGCAGAATGACATTCTCTGGGAAGCACGCTTCGAAGAAATGAAAGAAGGCGAAATTTGTCCTCTTGCTATCTCTACTTCCAGTAATACTTAAGGCATTCATTTTTTCAGGAAATAGGGCATAATGATCATATATAGAGTTTCGAGTCGATGTAGCAGTGAGTCAGGGAGTTTATGGTTAAACTTGACAACGAATGGGTGGGTTCATATGCCAACTGTCAGTTACGATCGAAAATATTGTGTATGAAAAACACCGAACCCGTAACACTTGCAAGTGATCAAAGCGATTGATGCTATGTATGAGCCAAGAACAATGATGATGATTGATATGATATGATCAAACCACATGATTATGGTGTGATTACTGGTTATAAGGGGTGAAAAGTTTGAATCGAACCTAGGTCAACGACTAACTCACTGTATGACTTGGTCAAATTGGTAGCGCTCATTTTCTAAGCAAGCCTTTCTCATAACGACTGGGGTTTCTCAGATCACCACACACACACACACCACGCACTCACACGCACACGCACACGCACACGCACACGCACACGCACACACGCACACACGCACACACACACACACGCACACACGCACACACGCACACACACACACACGCACACACACACACACACACACACACACACACACACCACACACACACACACACACACACACACACACACACACACACACATGCACACGCAAACACGTCTGAACTGGCCGAAGCATGACATTTTTCCCATCGAGGCCGTTCGCCGTGCTTTTCAGCGAGCAGCGGCGCCAGCCTCCGGTCGCTGATTATTGCGTGACGAGGTGGTTCAAGGTCGAGCTGACTGAAGGGTGCGTTCGATGATAACTTCTCTTTGGAGAAAAAGCTTGGAGAGTGGTCACTCTCTCGCGAATGCCTCTGTCCATTCAACGGAAGGCCCGGTACGCCGCGGGCGCTCGTTCGCCGTTGCAGCTGGTTGGCATCGCGGTAAATGGACATTCCGTCCTTGTCAGGTTGTAGGTATAAATAGTCCGGAGCGGTTTCGGTCAACGTCTCCTACTGTTGTCATTAGCAACACCAACTATAGTTTGGTGTTAACGGCTTTTGATTGTGCTGTTTGAGAACAATAGAGAACCGGCCTGCGGTTTCGTCTCCGTCTCCAGTCCGCGTGTTTGTCTTTACACCTAGCAGTAAACATAGCTTTCCAATATCAGCAATCGACCAAAAATAGCCAATAAAAATAACACACCATATTTCATTCAAAATCAGATGGTGCACAGGGAATGGTGCACTGGACGCATATCATTATTGATTTGTATGTTCATGGAGATGTCACTCGTAAAAAGACGGCCTCGGCGGACGCGCGGAATCAAATGGGCCGCTGCAAGGTTTTATTGTTGTCCTATGTATGTGTTGTGCCGCCTGCCCGAATGCCATCCGCAGCTGCTGCGCTCGCCGCCATGTTTTGATCCCGCCATCGGGCATCCATCAAGGCAGCGCGGCGCCGGGCATTTATCAATAACACCACTTCTCTCGCCATCGGTCGCGCCCGCCGCGCCCCAGACGTATTTTTCCGCTGCAGTCGCGAGGACAATTTCGGCGCTAAAAAGCGCGTCGGTCTCTGCCAAACCTTCCGAATGCGCCGCAGCCATCAATCCAACCCCAAGTTGAAAACAGCTGGCTGGCGCACGACAACTGGAAAGGGATACGTGATGGAGGAGGGAGGAGAAGAGCGATGGTTAGATAGAGAGGCAGCACGGAACGAGAGACAACGGAAAAGGCAGGGGGATGGGAGGAGGGGGCCAGGGGCGACAACCACAGCCATTTCAGGCGGTGAGCCTGAGTAGCTGCTACCGTTACAGCAACAAGGGTTGATATCATGTCCAACATACATCCATATGCGTGGCGATGACTAAGGGCTGTGTCCAAACCCGAACGCTTTTCATTCCCAATCACCCGTTACCCATCTGGCGCCTGTTTTTCAGCACTTGAGTTATAACTCACCTAAGTGCTGTTAATTAGTGTTTCAGAAAGATGCATACACCAGCTGACTGTTACTTTGGCAGCTGCACAAGTAGTGCGAATGAAGCCAACTGTGACTAAGAGGGACGCAGTAATATTATGTAGTGTGCATTGAGCAACCCACAAAAAGTCATAAACGTATTTCGCCATACCTGTACCCATAACATAATTGAGTTCGAACTCTGCATTCAATCTAGCATATTACCCACTCCACATGGTTGTCATGGATTTACCCAGTCCGTGCAGTCCTTAACGCGCAAAACAAAAACAAAGCACCAGCGTGATGGGAGGTGCACACGGACGGTGACCTTCCTCCGCTGAACTCGGACGGTGCCTACCTCCCTGACCTCGCAGATGAGCCGAGCTGTGTCACCCTCCTTATAGGGGCCGGCCGTGGAGGAGATCATGCCGCCGGTTCGTTGAAGAGCCGCGGCTGCTGCGGCGGCACTGAAACACAGCAAGCGGACGGCGTCAGGCCTCGCAGCCGGCAGCCCGGTGTCAGGGCCCGGCGGCGTGGCGGTGTTGGTGAGCCATTCTCCGACCAGGCGAAGACTCGCCGGCGACCACAATGATAACTTGACTTTATTATCAGAACTGGGTATGTGCAGGGGGACGTAGGAGCGGTAGGAGGGGCCATACTGACCGCGTCTTTTGAAAGCTTTGGGTTTCAACACGTAATATTAACATACACATGGCAAAACATAAATAAAAATACACAAATCTACCTCATTTCCAAACAAACCAGCACCCCGTATTGAAATACAAGACAATGTCAGACAGCCTTGACCTACGATGTTTATCAATGGACGTTTTAAAAGCGTGGATATGTACGCGTATTGCCAATGCAACTTATTCAGTACGGAAACAAACAATATGCAACACAACATGTAAACTCGCACAGCTCAACACCAGCATAACATCGTGAAGAGTTAGCGTTTGGAATGGGTGCCGTTTTAGTTTACATCGAGACTTTCGTGCCACATCAAGCACTGAGTCGCGCGTGGGAAACACTCGGGCGCCAGCACACCGGACGCCACGTTCGTATTTTCGTGTGTGTTCGGCGAACTTCGCCGGGGAAGGGGTACTTTGCATGCAGGTGAGCACAGTGCAGGAAACTTTAGCAGACTCGGGATGCAGGAGAGAAGGAGACCAAACTTTGTTGCACTCGGCGGGGCGTAGCTTGAGTGGCAGTGCCAGCAGGGCGTGCTGCCATTGTGCCAAGCCGGAAATTCATACTCCGTAGCCGTGCTCACAGCTTCCAGGAGATTGGCTTCTACAGCACGGCTCCCTGACCACATAACGCAGCGACAGGGCTTTTTGAAACTCTGAGGCGAAAGGCATGCCTCCATTCATTCACAGCGAGCCTAAGTCATATTTCTGGCGCGATTTCAGCGCGAAAAACAAGCTTTAGTATTGACCGTCCAAACACGCTTCAAGTGCTGGTGCCTGTGCGCGGCAGGGTGCCGGAGTTCGGTGGCGGCAGCCGTCACTAGCGGGCGCTGGTCCGGATGACAGCCGTCACCAGCGTACGCTGGCCCGGCCGACAGCCGTCCACCAGCAGGCGCTGGTCCAAGCGACAGCCATCACCAGCGAACGCCCCATCACCAGCGGACGCTGGTCCTGACGACAGCCGTCACCAGTGGACGCTGGTCCTGACGACAGCCGTCACCAGCGGACGCCGGTCCTGACGGCTGGCGACAGCGCGCTCTTCGGCAGCCTCCATTTTCACCAGCGCGCCGGTGACGGCCGACAGCCGACGACAGCGTGACGACAAGCGCACCCCGCGGACCTGCTCGTGCCGGCCCGCGTGACGACAGGCACACCCCGCGGGCCTGCTCGCGCCGGCCGCGTGACGACAGCGCACCCTGTGGATCTGCCCGTCGCCGGCCGCGTGACGACAGCGCACCCTGTGGATCTGCCCGCGCCTGCCGCTGTGACGACAGCACACCCTGTGGATCTGCCCGCGCCGGCCGCGTGACGGCAGCGCACCCTGTGGATCTGCCCGTGCCGGCCGCGTGACGACAGCGCACCCCCGCAGATCTGCCCGCGCCGGCCGCGTTGCGACAGCACACCCGCGGGCCTGTTCGCGCCGGCGGCGTTTTTACGCCCTCCAAGGCGGTGACCGGGCGACCATTGGTGGCCCGCCGGCCTGTCCGGCGTGTGATCAATCACGACATTGCCACAAAGACGGGTCGGTGGCGGCGACTTTCCGCCACCGCTGGCGGCATCGATTGCCCCGCTTTCCTTCCCCTCCCCCGTGGCCCCGTTCGCTGTCACATCATTTGTCGACGATGGTGGCCCGAGCGAAGGTCGCCCGGCCGCTCGCCCCGAGCACCGCAAATACGACCCAGCGGTCCCCCTGGGACGAGGGCAGGAAGGACACCCATCGCGCCCGAGAGCGGAAACCCAGGAGAACGCAGAGCCGCCCGCAGGCGGTGACGCAGCTAATGAGGCAGAAGACGATGACGCATCCCATAAAGTGGAGCGTGAATGTGTCAACTGCAGTGAGGCTCTGCGACGCCATGCTGGTCGACGTGACGACATCCGCCCAGAGCTGAAGCTTCGGGGTGGAAAAGTGATGGTGGGAGCTGCTCGTACTCCTCATGTCCAATTATCTGACAGTGTGAGGACGCTACGCAGCTGGTCAAAAAGGCGCCTCATCTAGAAGAGCGTTAGCCAGCGTGAGCAGAACGTAGTACGTTGCACCTGACGCCGCGGTTCCGCCGACACGCTGACAGCTGCACGGATGAATATGAGCAGCCTACCGGTGCGCGAGAGCAGAGCTCGCCAGAGGGTCACCCCATGCCACCACCATGCCATTGCATGTGCTCCGCTGGCGTTGTTTGTCAAGTGTGATATTGCTGCCATAGTCCATTGACCTTGCGAGTTACATCCAAGCTTTTTGTATGAAATGATCAGCCATTCAATCGCCTACAGCCATGCAACGTCTGGTGTCGCTTACCGCGTCATTTGGCATTCATTCGGGAAAAAACATATCGGCATTCAGAGAGAGCCCCAGCCAGCACAGACTACTTACTGTGCTGCGCTGGCTTCGTTTATCAGGAGTGATATTGCTGGTATGGTATACGACTGCTGTACCTGCAAGCTGAAGTGTGATGTGCGCTTCAAAATTCATGCTGACATTCGTTTGAGCAGTACACCACCCGGCGCTACTCAGGCTTGGCTCTGAATGGCGCTTGCATCACCACTGATACATAAATCAGTCGCTTTGTTTAATTATGAAGCAGTCGCGTGGGTTTAATGAATGCGAGCTTTAATATTTAAGCTGATATTGCCTCCATCTCGATAGCCGTCAGATAGGCCAGGCTCGTAAAAAATGCATGGTATTCAACGCATAGATGACATAGCTGCACGAGGAGGATGGCATTATCGCAAGTATCGTCATGAGAGTGACACCAGCTCATTGCAATTCAAACAACTTCCTAACGAAGTCACGCTTTTGCAATGACCCTTTCCCTGAAACAACTTAAATGTGTGTGATTTTGGGAGGTGACGGGATGAAGACACGGAAGGCAAGTTCGATTGAAGAAGATAGCTATGTGAACAAGATAGTCGTTAGTCCAAGTGGAGCTCCAAACCGCGGGCTTTGACCGACCCAGGCTGACCATTTGTACCAAGAAGGAAGATTGCAAGATATTGACTAGCTTGAGCTCCCACCAGCGGGGCTTTACATATGCAGAACGGGTGGAGTTCCGTGCACCGTCATTTGATGCATACAGGCTGGATGGAGCCCGCCGTCGCCACCCATTCCAGCTAATGACATGGCGAGGGATGGCTGCAGCCGTCGGCCGGGCTTGCACGCCATCTCCGCGTTATCTCGTCACATGGCAAACTGCATATGGTGGCCGGCGGCCGCGCCAGCACCGCCAGGTATGGAAATAAAAATGTGCTCGGGCGGGCCGTGGCAGCGGGAAGTGCGGGCCGTATCAGCGGTGAGGGCGGCCGTATCAGCGGCGAGTGCCGGCCGTATCAGCGCGGAGTGTCGGCCACATCAGCGGGGAGTGCCGACGGTATCAGCGCGGAGTGTCGGCCGCATCAGCGAGAAGTGCCGACGGTATCAGCGGTGAGTGCCGGCCGTATCAGCGGGGAGTTACGGGCCTATCAGCGGTGAGGACGGGCCGTATCAGCGGGAAGTGCGGGCGTATCAGCGACGAGTGCCGGTCGTGGCAGGAGGAAGTCCCGGCCGTGGCAGCGGGGTGCCGATCGTGGCGGCGGAGTGCCGGCCGTGGCAACGAAGAGTGCCAGCAGTGGCAACGGAGAGCGTCGGCCGTGGCCAAGGCCGGCCGACATTCTCCACCGCGGCGGCCCGCGTTGGCCAAGACCAGACGGCTGCTGCGTCGTATTCAGCCGGCGACTGGGGTTGCCGGCGGGCAGAATCCACTGCGCAGTTGTGTAGCCTTTGAAGTCAGGCGGACGTCATCAGAAAAACAAGCAGTCCTCGGGCTGCCATCATTTTGGCGTTCCAATTTGCGGGCGGATTGCATCAAAGCAGCTTGATTGCTACGTTTTAATTTGCGCGTGTTTTGCGAGGATTCATCGCTGACGAGATGTAATATTTAAAAACACAAATCGCCGCGAAAGGTGTGTTCTGATACTTGCACCGCGGTTTCAGTCAGAATAAGGCCTGTCAGAGGAGACTGAGAGGATGTAGCCCCAACCATGTGATCCAGCACAGGCGGCGTCGGAGAGCACCCAGAGCAGAGGAGCATGGGTTACAACGCCAATGAACCCTGGCCGCCAGTGCTGGCGCTGGTCATCCTCAGACCTAGCGATGGGTTCGGCGTTGATAGAGAGCAGCGGTCGGCCGTCGGCGGCCACGGGCGGCTATCTCACACGTCATTGCAGCCGGCAGCTGCGCTCAGACGAACGGCCCGCCTGCGACGTGCCGCCGCCGCCCCAGGCACTATTGGCGGCCAGCGCCGATCGGTCACCACCGCCCAGCTATGGCGCCCCGCCTCGGACTTTGAGGTAAATTGGTGCCGACATCTGCCGCCCTGCCGACAATTTACGACCGCCTCCTGGGCCGCGACGTAGGCGGCCGCCGCTCGTGTCGCCCGCCGGCGTGGTGTCACAATTCCGCCGATGACACCGCCGCCAGGGCATGAAGTGGCGGCGGACGGTGTGGCGCCGCTAAAAACGCCGCGTCGGTCGCGTCGTGCGGCCAGCTGCGCCTCCAGATGGATGTTATCTGAAACCGAACGACGCCCAGCCACGCCCGCCCTGATACATACGGCCGGAGTGTACCGCGCAAATGGGCCACTCGCTGTCGACCTGTACGTGACGCAAACAGTGAGCAAAACGTGGCGTCAAGCACGAGTCCGGGTCGGCATGAAAGGCACTTTTCAATATAGGGCTTTGTGTTGAAGAGTTTGCACCTTTTACAAACCACGTTTCAGTGGCGTAAGTAGTGCGGTTGGAAGCAATCT